TATATATATACATATATTTTATTATTTAATACTTCCAAAATATCTTATTATTTAACACTTTTCATTTTAAATTCTAATAATATTATACATATTTGTATACATAAACATTTAAGATATACTTTTTGTAAAAACAAAAAAATTAAAAATAAATATATTAAATTTTCAAGGTATTTGCAATATTAAATTACAAATATAATCGTATTTATGTATAATAGTAAATCACATATGTATAAACAGTAAACTACAAGAACAACATGATATTATGAAATATCGGTAAATAAAACACAATGCTTATAATGCAAATATGTAGGATTTTATTTTCTTTTTATATATCAGAAAGAAAATACAATTGATATACAAATGCAACTTGTATTTCTCCTTTAAATAATTTTATTATTTATGTACAACTAAATTATAGTTTCCTGTACACATTTCTTATTTTCCTTCAGCTATTTTATCTGCAGCATATTTCAAGATCCCAGGACCCTAAGTATAAAACATTTTTTTATTAATATTAATACATCAAAGACATTGCTAATATGTATATTATTTAACGAGTGTAGTATTTGCACACTTACCACTTTTTTAGCAATACCTCCTACCATTTTCCCCTAAAAAATAATAATAATTACGTTTACATAATAAACAAAATGTATTTAAAAATCTAAATATTTCTCATTAAAGTTATTGGGTATGGGAATAAGTTTCCGCCCTTGTGAGAAAGGTGTCGTTAGCGGTACTAATTTCGTGTTTAATTGAACGGCTATACTTGTTTTGAAGGTGTATGTGTGAGTAAGGTAAGCTTTGAATCATAGTAGTAGACAGTCGTTTGAAGAATAAACTTTTTTTTTTCTTTCGCGTCGAAAGTGGCAACATTTACCCCACCGGAGCAGCATTTGCGGGAAGTATTACTCCACATACACATTATTATATTCTGAAGAAAAATGTTGCTGAAACGCATCGAATTGTCACTGGCGATGAAAAATCGATCCACTACGACAGACCCAAACGACTGAAATTATGGGCGATGCCGGGTAAACCAGGTCCAATTCCAAAACGGAATATCCACGGTTGGAAAATTATGTTATGGAGGGATCAGAAGGGCGATATTTATTATAAGCTTCTGAAACCATCACTGGGGATCGTTACCGACTACAGTTAATACGTTACCGAATACAGTTAATACGTTTAAACCATAGACATATAAAAAATAGACTGCTTATGAGGCAGTGGAACCCTAGGTGGGGGCATCCTCCTGAGGGAAAAAGGACAACATAAATTTATTTGGGTATCTGTCTTCCTCTAGTGGACGTGATCTGAAGGCGATCACGTGATCATGCCCACGTGATCACGTACACCAGAAGAAGATAGATACCCAAATAAATTGGTGTTGTCCTTTTCCCTCAGGAGGACATCCCCCACTAGCTCATAAGCAGTCTATCTTTTATATGTCTATGGTTTAAACCGAGCTTTAAAAGAGAAACAGCCGGAATGGGATAATAGGCACAAAAAGCTGATTCTGCCACACGATAACGCTAGGCTCTACGTTGCGAAGGTACAAAATAACTTGGAAGGATTGAACTGGGAAATCTTGCCCCATCCGCGGTATTCACCAGACAACAATCCTTCGGATTTCCATATGTTCCGGTCCACGCAGTCGGCATCCTTTCTGGAGAGCGGTTCACTTCTCATGAAGGTATCGAAAAATGACTTAATGAATGGATCGAGTCGAATGAACGTGATTTTTTTCTTCGGGGAATCTGTTTTCTACCTGAAAGATGGGAGAAAGTTGTCGTTTCCAATGGGAAACATACTTTGAATAAAATCATTTTGCATTTTTCTTTAAATTTTTATTTAGAAAGGGCGGAAACTTACCCGATACTTAAAACAAAAAATACTTAAAATAAAAAATTAGTATGCAAATCAAATCTTTAAGAAATAAAAAGACAGATTTATATTAAATAAAATAATATAAAAATGCATATACATATATACACTGCTCAAAAGAAATATGGCATAGAAAAATTTTATGCAAAAATTGGTCAACTTTGACTGACGGTAACTCCGCGAAAAATCATCGTATAATTATGTTCTTTTTTTTTAATTAAAGCTTGAAATCTCTACTTTAAGATACTGTAGTTATTTTTTAGGTGTGATGCATCCCTACCACTGTAACACCTTAAATATGAGGGCATGTTTGTTATATTGAAAACTGCAAAGTTTGACGGAGTGCATGGGCTAGGTACATTTTTTTTCGGGGATACTGTTTGCAGGAACATAAAGTACAAACCTTCCTCTTCAATTTAAAAAAAAAGCAATTCGCTACCATTTTTTTTCGCAAGGATACAGTACTTTAAAGTAACCCTTGCATTATTGGCATATACCGTCGGTATTGGCATTACCCGATGTGCACCCCTGAAAAGAGCCGTTTGCGTGTGTGTGTGTGTGTGTGTGTGTGTGTGTGTCTGTGTGTTTGTGCGCGTGCGCGTGCGCGTGCGTGTGCGTGTGCGTGTGCGTGTGCGTGTGTGTGTG